TTCATATCAATGTATAACAAAAACTACTGTAATGATGTAAAGTAATTAGCCTCCAACTAATAAAAATTAAAAAAAAAATAAAATAAAATAAAAAAATAAAAAAAATAAAAAATAAAAAAATAAAGTATAAAGGAGATAGAGAAAGCTTCTGACATAGGCATCAGAAGGGGGCAAAAGAGTATCCCCTTCCTAGTCTTTAGCTGTGTGTTATATAGTCACTCACAATCTGTTAATGAAAAGAAAGGAATGTCATAAAATTTAGAATGGCACAAGATAATACATCCCCGGCCGTAAAACAATTAACTTGAATCTTGTAGGAGGGCAGATTACCAACAAATAGTTTTGTTTACATAGATTAGGGGAACAATACCAGAGTAAGTAGGTTGGGCCATTTAGCAGAACCAACTTGAAGATAGAGTCTGGGGTACATTAACATAGCTTAAGACAACATTTCCATAAGAAAAAGAAAAGTATTGGTTAACTCAAGGTTTGAGAGTAGTTAGCTTCAGGTGAAACCAGGTGTCATGGCAACCCAGCATTTTAAGAGAAACCTCCTTTTAAATTTGTATAGAGAAGAAAAGGTATCGCTGGTTTGTTTCCTCCTGCCACTTAAGAGAGATAAAAATGTCTGGCACGTGCAGCGTCTTTCCTCCTTTTGGAGACCCCTGGCCTTCCAGCCTGTTACCCTCTCAACAGCAGGGCACACCCCCAGGATGGCGACACCAGAGCCAGGCACACCTGCCCTCCCACCAAAGTCCTGCTACCAACACAGTCAATCCTGAAGGCTGCGGAGCACGAGCCTTCTTCCCTTCAGTAGCTGTTTCCTCTTCAACTGATTTTTTCTTTCTAAAAATGAACATGGAACTCCTCTGACATCAGAAACTGAAATGAATAAAATAGACTATAAAAAGGAAGAAGGTGGAAGCAAATTTAAAAAAAAAATTTTTTTTAGGCTAAAAAGGGTTTTCGCAAATATAGAGTGAGCTGAAGTAAAACCTCAGTCATTCACATACGAAGAAGCAAGCTAAAGTGATACCCACAAGGGCAAGAAACAACTGTGGCTAAGAAGCCTATGGGTGCAGGCAAGAGCTTTGCAGGCAATACTCAATCTGCTAAATAAGATGCTCCAGCAAGAGCTCCCGGCCGGCCAGGAGGGGGCAAGGCGGGCTGAAAAGCTGTGGCTCAGGTGATGGGGTTCATCTGACCTAGAGAGCTCGCTGAAGGATGGCATTGCCAGGGACTGCCAGCTAAGGATTCACTTAGTCCCAACATGAGCGCACCTGAATGGGCAAATGGTCACGCTGAGGATGAAGGATGCTCAACAGATGACCTCCACCTGGAGCATCATTTATAACCAGTGGCAACCAGACTCCGAGGAGCAAGGGTCCTCCAGCCAGGACTCCCAATAGCAGGTGAAGGTGGCGAGGGAGGGAGGGTGGTTTCAAGGTGGTTCCCTCTGCAGTTGGCCCAAGACTTTGATGTTGAAAGGGGTGTGGAATTTAAGCTCTGAGCGGGCAGGGACGCGAAGGTCCCCCCCTGCCCAGTGCATTCCATGGTACAGGGAACACTGTAGGGGCTCGAAAATATATCTGAAAAAAATCAAGATACAAAACGCAAGAGTCCGGCTACAGCAAGAGTAAGGGCCTGCGCTGTCACTTCTGGCCAAACAAGGCCATCTCTAAGCCAAGCCCAGGCTTCTCTGGACCTGAAGAGACGGTGACCGGCCACTCAACATACTGACTCTGCAGCATTCTCAGACACACTACTTGGCCACAGAAAAGGCTAAGACAAAGATACTTATGAGGGAAACATGGACACAGCGTACTGGGGAAGTACTTCTGAGGGGTGACCCGGAACACGGCCACAACGTAATGGGGAGTTGAAGAGAAGTTCATAGGATTGTAGGGTATGACTCTCATGCCCGCGCCCCCCCCCCGCCAATCACACACACAAACACACGGATCTGGGGGTAGGAAGTATGTTCAAAGGATCTATCTCAGTAAGCTTGGGAGCAAGGCAGAGAGGGGCTTTTATTTCCTGTCTTTTACGTGTTTACTGAGATTTCCACAATTAACAGGTAAAATTCCAAACAGGAAAAGGAGTACATCAAGGCTGTATATTGTCACCCTACTTATTTAACTTATATGCAGAGTACATCATGAGAAAGGCTGGGCTGGAGGAAGCACAAGCTGGAATCAAGATTGCCGGGAGAAATATCAGTAACCTCAGATATGCAGATGACACCTTATTCATTGGAAGGACTGATGCTGAAGCTGAAACTCCAATACTTCGGCCACCTGATTCGAAGAGCTGACTCATTGGAAAAGACCCTGATGCTGGGAAAGATTGAGGGCAGCAGGAGAAGCAGACGACAGAGGATGAGATGGTTGGATGGCATCACTGACTCAATGAACATGGGTTTGGGTGGACTCCGGGAGTTGGTGATGGACAGGGAGGCCTGGCATGCTTCAGTTCATGGGGTCGCAAAGTCAGACACAACTAAGCAACTGAACTGAACTGAATTTCTATATCGCTTAAATATGTAAATTTGAAAGTAAACAACACCCCCCCTCCCCTGCCAGTCTGGCTTTCTTATTATTAAACTTGAAAACCATTTATGATGAGCTGCCCAGTAGTACTTTGGGGTTTCTTTTGGGGGGAAGAAAAAAAAAAAGGAACAGAACTGAGCCACCTCTATCCAATTTTTTTTTTCAGTCTGTTCCTTCTTACTATTTGAAGGCAATTTTCAGCCCAGCTTAAAGGTTTAAAAACCTCTCAGGCATGGCGACATTTCTGTTGCCATCCTCACTGTTATGAGGGACTCTCTACTTAGTCCGCTCTGTAAAGAAAGCCTCAGATAGACCACAAATGCTCAAGAGGATAAAATTAAGCCAGGGGGAGGCAAAAGGCAGGGGAAGTGAGTACGGCTGTGACCTAGGGTGACAAGACACGTCTCCTGGGACAAGGGGTAACACCCTCTGGACAGCTGAGCCTCTCTGCAGTCCATGGGGCTCACACTGCCTCTCTCAGGCCTCTCCACCAGAAAGAAGTACCATCTTAGGCAGCATCTTCTTCTGAGCTGAGACGGTTTAGAGTTCTTTTGTTGCTGTGGATGACTCACCTCATCGCTTTGGAGGCAGGCCTTTTTTAGGGGAAGGGGTGTCTAGAGAACACACACAATAGACTTTGTGTTTGTCTCTTGTCCCAGCCCTGTTAGGGGCTGAGAACATTAGCTCATGAGAGCCCTCCTGACAGCCCTAATAAACTGGAATGTCTTCAATTGAGAAAAAAAAATAAACTACTATAATGCCATTACAAATGGACACACAATTTTCTCCCTAATTTTTCTCCCCAGTGCCTCCCAATTTTTTTCATCCCACTGAAAGCCTTGTGGCTTTCCTCGTGGTTGTGTCTTGTCAGTATTTACAGACATGAAAAAACACTGAAGGGAGAAAAGAACAAGCAAAATGAGTAGAGAAATGGCCTGGGTTGTTTTCCTCTGGGGCTGTCGGAGCCACTCCCTATTCTGTTGAAATAAGCCCTTGGCTGTAACCTGCCCACTCAAGCAGGTTGCCCACAAAGATGTACCCTCCCCAGCCCCCAACAGAATTTTATCTTAAAAATCCCCAAGCACACCTGAGAGAAAATTAGCAAAGCTTGCATTAAAAAAAAAAATTAATTGCTGCTGCTATTGTTCTTCGAGGGTCACTGTCATCAGTCTGAAAAGCACTGCTGTCTACATGCATCATTAAAAATTTACCTACAGGGAAGAGATGACAACAGAAATATTTTAAAAACCCTCTAGTCTTCCCTAAGTCTGTTTTTCATGTCATGCTTTCATTAGCTTCTCCATAGTGCTAAAAACTCCCACAACCTCAGATAGAAGCATATGCAAAGTATATTTTTTAATTTCCAAAGCCAAATACAAATATTTTTGAAACCACCCACACCTATCTCCCACATAAGCATGGATATACATAACTCTTTATATTACTATCTCTCTATACTAAGAATGTCAGTCTGGAAATTCCTTTCATAAGGAAAAATGCATTTTAAAGATCTGATCCATAAAAACGTGAAACTGGAAATTCACTAAATTCATTTTGTCTTTGAGCCATACTGGACCCTCATTTGAAAATTTTCTTCTCAATATTTATTTATTCATTTATAGTTCATGGTTTGTATTGTGATGATCTACAACTCTAGGAAATTATTTGGCAAAGAAAGGGAAGGAAAAGAAGGAAATAAAGCTTAATGCTATGTACCGTCTACTTTAAAACTAACTGTGAAAAAAAATGGACTGCTTAAAGTAAAATCTTCATTCCTCTGTATGTGTCACTATTGAGAATAATTCAAATACCTGCCAAACAAACAATATTTGAATTTTTAAAATTTAAAAAGAACTCCCGAGGATTACTAGATATGAAAATTATTTTAATGGTCCAGAACGAAAATGCACCTGACGGTCTGGCCACCAGAGGGAGCCAAAATGCCCCCATACACCTGAGTGTAGATACACAGGACACAGGATTCAGAAACCTTCATGGTCGGGGATGCTGCACAATGCCTCTCCTCCAGCGAATTCTACAAGGTCAGAGGGGTTAAGGGTGAGGCCCTCCTTCAAATTAAAGGCAGTTGTGGTAGCTTCAACATAAGAAGCTAAAAGTAAGGTGGTATGTGCTGGTAGAGGCTTTTTTATGTTACTAAACTGTATAACCTAAGTATTGTAAAGAATGAGGGTCTTAACAACACATACGGAAAAGTAAAATAAGAAATTATGAGATGAGAAGGTAAGGAAAGCTGGAGCGCATACTGAAGAAAGGAGGGGCAAAGAAAGACAAGGAAACTCAGTCTAGCAGCATCCGGGCGCGGAGAACCATGGGAGGTGGGGGGAGGGGGGAAATGTGCCGAAAGCGCGTGCGCACAGCGTGACCGCCAGGCACAGCTGAGTCTAGCGGCATCCAGGCGCTGAGACTCATGGGAGATGGGGGCGGGGCCGTGCGGAAAGCGCATGCGCACAGTGTGACCGCCCTGCACCTGGCCGAGCAGACGACGCACTGCCCCACACCTGGGCCAGGTGGGCGCGGAGGTGAGGAAAGCCTCCTGCGGGCGATCTCCCTGGGCACTGTTGTGAAGGAGATGGCTGTGAGACAGACAGGGGAGGTGGTCATCAGGGGCGCCAGTAGAAGCACAGAACTGAGCACAGCTCTGGGGGGCGGGGAGCCAGGCCAGACAGAGGGCGCAGACAGAGGGCGCTGGAGTCAGGACCTTAATCCACCAAAGGAGCGATGGCTGAAGGTCCCGCCAGTAGCGGAGCGTGCCTCAGAGGGAGCACTCTCTCCATGGGGCTTCCCTGGTGGCTCAGCTGGTAAAGAATCTGCATCCGTTTGCAATGCGGGAGACCTGGGTTCCATCCCTGGGCTGGGAAGATCCCCTGAAGAAGGGAAAGGCTGCCCACTCCAGTATTCTGGCCTGGAGAATTCCATGGACGGTATAGTCCATGAGGTCGCCAAGAGTCGGATACGACTGAGTGACCTTCACATTCTCTTCATGTGCAGAGGGATAAGGGAAGAGGACGGACCTGAAGATGTGAACCCTGCTCAGGAAGCCCTCGGCACAAACAGGGACCAGGAAGAGCTGGAGGGATGAGACAGCCAAGGACAACTCCCCAGTGCCTAACCTGGAGGCCCAGATAAACAGACGGTGAAGTCATTGGCTGGGAAAGATTAGTCCAGAGAAAGAATAAATATTTTGACATTTGAGGCCAAGATACTTGTTTTTTGTTGTTTTTGCAAACAAAAGAGGCTGACTCAGGTACATGGTCATTCAAATCTCATTTCCAGCGCATGCTGGTTCTACTACATACTTAATAACAGAGGGAAAATGAAATCACACTGCAGGGAGCCAGTAACCCATCTGGAAGAAAGGAATTTGCACATTTTTCTGTCACAATCTTTTACTGTCCAGACTGTGCAGATAACATACAAAATCACTTCAACAAAATTAAATCACTGTATGCAAAGAATTTCCAAGAGTTTACAAGTGAGAGAGAGAGAATATATAAGCAACACTGTCATTTTCTCACTAGCAAAAAGAAAAAGAAACTGTGATAAAGTTATGATTCATCCATTCTGATTTCTCAACCAGTTGCCCACAAACTTAAAATGCAGTATTTCTTTTTAATGCTTCTCTACCTTCCTACCATGAATGCCTAATTTCCAGCATCTAAAAATAATAGAGACTTTGAAACAATAATCAGTCGTTCAAAAAGGGAAGCACAACAATGTACCTATAATCAACCAAAAACAGACAGTGGAAACAAACCGTGCAGCTTATTTATGCTGAAGGAAGTCAGCACACACTAATTGAGGCAAGGCTGAACATCCAAGAATTGAAGCTTTGTAACTGTGGTGTTGGAGAAGACTCTTGAGAGCCCCTTGGACAGGAAGATCTGACCAGTCAATCCTAAAGGCAGTCAACCCTGAATATTCATTGGAAGGACTGATGTTGAATCTCTAATATTCTGGCCACCTAAAGTGAAGAACTGATTCATTGGAAAAGACCCTGATGCTGGGAAAGATTGAGGGCAGGAGGAGAACGTGACAACAGAGGATAACATGGTTGGATGGACTCACTGACTTAATGGACATGAGTGTGAGCAAACTCCGGGAGATAGTGAAGGACAGGGAAGCCTGGTGTGCTGTAGTCCATGGGGTCACAAAAAACTGGACATGACTAAGCAACTGAACAACAACATACTTTTACATCACTTGTGTTGATATTATACAGTAGGAGTACCAGTTCTTTAATAATTTACTGAGGAGTTACACATTGCAAATTCCTTATTAAACATTACCTGTACTAAGGTCGTAAGTTTAAGAAATACTCAGCAGAGAAAACAGGCAGTATTTTAATGGTAACATCCTAATTTAAATGATGTTCTGCATCTGCTGGGATTCCTATAAATAAAACTTTATTTCTTACAAATGTATTGATATAAAGCACTGAGAAGTAAGTTTCTCTAAGATAAAAACATTTTATACTCATCTGTAGACTTTAAAATCCACAATGCCTATCTAAAATGTTTGACAAGCTGTATTTTAAGTATGCTGGCTTTGGAGAGTGAAGGGAAAAAAAAAGCTACTGCCATATTTAGGAACCTGACTCCTTCATGCCCCAAAAGTCAATACTGGCTGAATTCCTGCCTGTCATTGATCAACTAGCAGCTCAATGAAATAGTTTAATCTGGAAATCATGACCAAATAATATGGGCACTCCCAGTTCCAAATACATATGTTGTAGAAAATCAATAGCTTATACTCTCAGGGACCAGCAAACTATGGCCCACAGGCCACGTGGACATGGCCACGCCTATTCATCTACTGTCCTGGCTGCTTCTGTACTCTCGAGAAACCAGAAGCCCTGCAAAGCCTCAACTATTTACTCTCTGACCCTTTACAGAAAGGAGTTTGCTGGCCACTGATTCAGACTGCCTGTAGCACTTAGGGCTTGTATTTATCACCGAAGAACCTGCCAGATTGGTAAATTTCTAAGCAGACTTTAAAAGTTTATTTTCCATGTTCCTGTCCCAAATATTTCATGCAAAGATAGGCACAATAAAGGACAGAAATGGTATGGACCTAACAGAAGCAGAAGATACTAAGAAGAGGTGGCAAGAATACACAGGAGAACTATACAAAAAAAGATCTTCACGACCCAGATAATCGTGATGGTATGATCACTCACCTAGAGACAGACATCCTGGAATGTGAAGTCAAATGGGCCTTAGGAAGCATCACTACGAACAAAGCTGGTGGAGGTGATGGAATTCCAGTTGAGCTATTTCAAATCCTAAAAGTTGATGCTGTGAAAGTGCTGCACTCAATATGCCAGCAAATTTGGAAAGCTCAGCAGTGGCCACAGAACTGGAAAAAGTCAGCTTTCATTCCAATCCTAAAGAAAGGCAATGCCAAAGAATGCTCAAACTACCACACAATTGCACTCATCTCACAACGCTAGCAAAGTAATGCTCAAAATTCTCCAAGCCAGGCTTCAATAGTACATGAATTGTGAACTGTCAGATGTTCACAATTCTGGATATATATTCACACGCTGGATATAGAAAAGGCAGAGGAACCAGAGATCAAATTGCCAACATCGGGACTTCCCTGGTGGTCCAGTGGCTAAGACTCTGAGCTCCCAGTGCAGGGGGCCCAGGTTCGATGCCTGCTCAGGGAGCTAGATCCCACATGCTACAACTAAGACCCAGAGCAGCCAAATAAATAAAATTTAAAAAACTTAAAAATTTTTCAACATCTGTTGGATCATCGAAAAAGTGAGAGTTCCAGAAAAACATCTACTTCTGTTTTATTGACTATGCCAAAGCCTTTGACTATGTAGATCACAATCACAACAAACTGTGGAAAATTCTTAAAGAGATGGGAATACCAGACCAACTGACCTGCCTCTTGAGAAATCTGTATACAGGTCAAGAAGCAACAGTTAGAACTGGATATGGAATATCAGACTGGTTCCAAATGAGGAAAAGAGTACGTCAAAGCTGTATATTGTCACCCTGCTTATTTAACTTATATGCAGAGTACATCATGAGAAACACTGGGCTGGAGGAAGCATAAGCTGGAATCAAGATTTCCAGGAGAAATATAATAACCTCAGATATGCAGATGACACCACTCTTACAGCAGAAAGTGAAGAAGAAGCAAAGAGCCTCTTGATGAAAGTGAAAAAAGGAGAGTGAAAATGTTGGCTTAACACTCAACATACAGAAAACTAAGATCATGGCATCCGGTTCCATCACTTCATGGCAAATAGATGGGGAAACAGTGGAAACAATGAGAGGCTTTATTTTGGGGGGCTCCAAAATCACTGCAGATGGTGACTGCAACCATGAAATTAAAAGACGCTTGATCCTTGGAAGAAAAGCTATGACCAACCTAGACAGCAAATTAAAAAGCAGAGACATTACTTTAAAGGTCCATCTAGTCAAAGCTATGGTTTTTCCAGAAGTCATGTATGGATGTGAGAGTTGGACTATAAAGGAAGCTGAGCCCTGAAGAACTGATGCTTATGAACTGCGGTGTTGGAGAAGACTCTTGAGAGTCCCTTGGACTGCAAGGAGATCCAGCCAGTCCATCCTAAAGGAGATCAGTCCTGGGTGTTCATTGGAAGGACTGATGCTGAAGCTCCAATACTTTGGCCACCTGATGCGAAGAGCTGACTCATTTCCCTGATGCTGGGAAAGATTGAAGGCGGGATGAGAGGGGGATGACAGAAGATGAGATGGTTGGACGGCATCACCAACTCAATGGACATGAGATTGAGTAAACTCTGGTAGTTGGTGATGGATAGGGAAGCCCGGCGTGCTGCAGTCCATGGGGTCTCAAAGAGTTGGACATGACTGAGTGACTAAACAACAAAGACAGAGATATCCAAATGGATTCTGGATTGTGCATTTTTAAAAAATATTTATTTATTTACTTGGCTGTGCTGGGTCTTAGTTGTTGTATGGGGGGATTGAGTTTCCTGACCAGGGATAGAACTGGGGCCACTTACCTTGGGAGCACGAGTCTTAGCCACTGGACCACAGGGGACTGTGCATTTTCAGAAGCATTACTTTCAGGTGTAACCATCTTTTTACCTTGAATGATGCCATTTTTGCCAACACAGGCGCACAGGGAGCCGAGAGGGCACATCGTCAAGGACCCCCCGGGCTTCACTGAGAACAGGTTGGCAGGCGGCTGTCGCCCAGGGAACCAGTCACAGTGAGAGACGCCTCCCTCAGCCCTCCGGTGATGAAACTATAGCTGTCGGTGCTCTGCCAGCTGAACGTTGGACCTCCCTTCCCGCAATACCTACTGGCTGTGTTCCTGGAGGCTGGGTTGTTAGCTCCATTTCTGTAAAATAAATATTGTCTTCATTGTCTTACACATTCCGAAACGCTTTCACTTCTGACTCATCTCGAGCTGGCGAAATGCCCTTCCTTGTCATACTTCAGTTCCTCACACGCTTCCCTACCTCCCCCCACCAAACGGAAACCTCTGGGAGACAAATACAGAATAAATTCCAGGATAAAGCAAAAGGAGAGTTGTTGGGGTGCAGGTGGGGGACACAGGCAGCTGAGCAAAGAAGGAGAGGCAGGAATGAGGGGCGGGAGGCAGCCAGGGAGGGGATGAGGCGGAGGAAAGACGTCGGGTCCCCGGGACAAGAGACATCGGACAGAGGATCCAAACTTCACCGCCACTCCCCAGAGGCATCCATGGATCTCTGCTCTCACTGGTGCCCTTTGTAAATAATCACACTAGGGGATTAAAATAAAATACAGTCCACGGCTCTTCAGCTGCTTTTAAATTTTTTCATTTTCTCAGGCTCGACTCTGATCAGATGAACAAAATTTAGTAAGTATCTACTCTGTGTGGGGTGCCTTCATATTTCTGTCCCTAAATCGTGTCCAGTGCTTTTGAGACCCCATGGACTGTAGCCCACCAGGCTCCTCTGTCCAAGGGATTTCCCAGGCAAGACTACCAGAGTGGGTTCCCATTGCCTCCTCTGGGGGATCTTCCTGGATCAGGGATTGAACTTACTTCTCCCGCATTGGCAATTGGATTCTTTACCACTGAGACACCTGGGAAGCCCTCCCTCATCTTCCTAAAACACATCAGATTCTCTGCCCTGGAGACTCAGGGACCAGAGAGCATCATTCATTGCTGATGGAGGTGAAGGAGAGCTATCCTGTGATATTCCCTTCCGTCTCTGTTAAGCCAGGTGGCCGAGCCCAAGTTCCTTAGATGACAGATGCCAGCACATCCGTGTGTCTGGAGTCGAGGCAGAGGAGGGGCTGTGAACACGGGATTCTCACGAATGTAACAGTGGGGGTGGTACAGAAAGGGGGCCTGTCTGCTTCACCTGCTTCCTTCACCAAACCCGGAAAGGCGCAAAGGCCAGCTTGTAGGAGTACACATTTAAACCGACCCAATAGTCCCGGCATTCTGAATCAGTGCCCATTCCGGCACAGCCTCTTCAGGGAATCCAGACCGTTCTAAACATCCGTTCTCACAGCACTGGCTCTAGGACAGCAAGCCCCGGGGCCTAACCCAGGACAGAGACGTGCTGTCCTGTGCACTGACCCACCTGCCACTTCTCACATTCCTGTCTGGAAAACCCAGTGGCCTGAATGCTATGCACAGGAAGGCTGGCATGTTTTAGAAGGATGCCACGTCTATTCCTACATACAAAGACTGGGTGAGATCAGCACGGATTTATAATAAGTTGTCTCATTTCACCTCAGGTCATCCTGATGCAGCTCTTGATTTGAAAATCTAATCAAATTCTTTAGATGGATGGCAATTATTTATCTTCTTAAATTTATTTTTAATTGGAGAACACCTGCTTCACAGTGTTTAGTTTCCGTGGCGTGACAAGGTGAATCAGCCGTAAGCGTACATATATCCCCCTCCCTCCGGAGCCTCCCACTCACTACTTAGGGATATAAAACTTAAAGAGAACATAATATAGAATAGAATAGAATAAAATAATAAGTTGTGTGGCTGCTGTGGGAATGTCGTTATTTGGGAGGAAAGGGTTTAACAATATCCTTTCGGGGCTTGGGGGTCAGGGGAGTATGATTAAAATGAACAGCCTGTGAGCAGGGTGCTCTGGACTCGCACAGGACTAATTGTGAGGGCTCAGATTTTAAGACAAATACTTTTGGCCCACAGGCCATTAGTGTTGATGCTGTGATGCTCAGCAATGCCCTAGATAGCTGAGGCCGTTCCAACAGGCCTGCAGAGAGAGAGGGGCAGGTTTGCATGGAGCCGGCAGGTCACAAACAGCCTCGGCGGAGCAGAGGGGCCCCGCTTCCGCCCAGGCGGGCACTGTGCTGCGTGCGGGTCAGCTCTACGCGCTGCCGACCACGCAGGGCAGAGGCCGGCACCAAACGCCGGTCACCCCTCCAGAGGCCTGAGAGCCCCGTCAGCGGAGAGGGCCAGCTGCTCAAAAGACGGCAGGAGCTGTAGGGTCCGTGGTGGCCCTGAGGCCCCACCCAGAGAGTCTCCACCAGCTCCAGCCACTCCACCTCATAGGAACATGGGCCACAGTGTTTAGGTTGCTGAGATTTTTTTTCCAGAAAACTGTTTTTTTAATATGAAATTTCCCAAACCCACTGGCTCACAATTTTTATTTTTTTTAGTGCACCATGGCTCATGGCGGCTCAGACAGTAAAGAACCTGCCTGCGTGCAGGAGACTTGGGTCTGATACCTGGGTCGGGAAGATCCTCTGGAGGGCGTGGCAACCCACGTCAGTGTTCTTGCCTGGAGAACTCCATGGACAGAGGAGCTTGGCAGGCTGTAGTCCATGGGGTCACAAAGAGCCACACACAACTGAGAGACTAACACTTTCCACTTTAATGTACCGCAGACCAAACAGAAGCGCTTCTGGGTTCAGTATAGAACCCCTATTATACAAAGCCTGACTCTATACAAACCCTGGCCTCATTGCATCCTAGAAGCACTGGCAGTTTAGCAAGGGGATCCTCAAGGCACTTACGGACTGGAGGTTTCTCCACGTGTTAAAGGATAAGAGTTCTTTCGTTTGCTGTTTTCCAAAAGCGGCAAAGGAAAAAACAAAATCTGATCTTTTGGGAGAAAAAGCAAAGTATATTTAAAATGTACATGTCTCTAGTGCCAAACTGTTCCCTCGCCCATTTCTCATTGGCCACCTGGGGGCAGATTTAATTTGACAGTGGAGGGAACAGACTTTAACCCGGGGATGGATTTTAGCTCCATCAGTTACGGGACAACCAGATGCTGGGTCCTGCCTGATCAAACAGCATCCCCCTTTCCTGAACTACAGGTTTAAACTGGATTTGATCAAGCTTTCAGATCCAACTGCTAATGTACAGGAAACCCAGGAGAAAGAGGAACACAGTCTTTGATACCACGGGAAGCAATTAAATGTGGTCAGAGAGACAATGTACTACTGATCCCTCAAGGTCATTCAAAAAGGGGAGAAAAGACTGTTCTAGAACAGAGTCTTAAGAGATGTCATAGCTAACTGCAATACATGATTCTCAACAGAATTCTAGGTTAACCAGCCCAATCGTAAAAGGCATTTCAGGGCCTTTTATCTGGAGGAATTCAGATAATGGACTAGGTAAGACAGTCCATCAGGCAATTATTGTTAATTTTGTGAAAACTGCATGGTGGTTAAAATGAAAATGTCCTTCACTTTTGTCCTTGCCTTTTTTTCCCCCTCCCCTAGAGACGCAAGCTGAAGTATTCAGGGGCTAAGCGTCACGATGTCTGCAATTCACTTTAGAATACTTCAGGAAAAAAACCAACAGACGCAGCCAATGTAGCAAAGTGTTAACAACTTAAACCTAGGCCGTGGGGTTGGGGGTGAGCTGGTGCCACAGAGCTATCATTACATGGCATTAAATCCCCATCAGTCTCAGCTACTAGTAGATGGAAGGACTCTGACTACATCCCTCCAATGTCCAAGTCCGTACGTGTTTTAAATTTCACCAGCTGCCAAAAGAAAAAATGACAGCAACTCAGACAGGTATAATGTGAGGTTACCAGCTCAACACACAATGGGGAAGAAACTGTACTAAAGAAGCAACTCTACAATGTGTGTCTGGGAGCCTCCCACACAAAAACTTTTATAAAACTCTCTCAGTAACCTCAGATACCAGATGACACCATCCTTATGGGAGAAAGCAAAGAACAGCTAAAGAAGCTCTTGACGAAAGTGAAAGAGGAGAGTGAAAAAGCTGGCTTAAAACTCAATATTCAGAACACTAAGATCACGGCATCTGGTCCCATTACTTCATGGCAAATAGATGGGGAAACAATGGAAACAGTGAGAGACTTTATATTTTTGGACTCCAAAATCACTGCAGATGGTGACTGCAGTCATGAAAGTAAGACACTTGCTCCTTGGAAGAAAAGATATGACCAATCTAGACTGCATATTAAAAAGCAGAGACATTACTTTGCCAACAAAGGTCCATCTAGTCAAAGCTATAGTTTTTCCAGTAGTCATGTATGGATGTGAGAGTTGGACTATAAAGAAAGCTGAGCACTGAAGAACTGATGCTTTTGAACTGTGGTGTTGAAGAAGACTCTTGAGAGTCCCTTGGACTGCAAGGAGATCCAGCCAGTCCATCCTAAAGGAGATCAGTCCTGAATATTCATTGGAAGGACTGATGCTAAAGCTGAAACTCCAATACTTTGGCTACCTGATGCGAAGACCTAACTTGTTGGAAAAGACCCTGATGCTGGGAAAGATTGAAGGTGGGAGGAGAAGAGGGCGACAGAGGATGAGATGGTTGGATGGCATCACCGACTCAATGGACATGAGTTTGAGTAAGCTTTGGGAGTTGGTGATGGACAGGGAGGCATGGTGGGCTGTCGTCCATGGGGTCACAAAGAGTCAGACATGACTGATCGACTGAATTGAAAGCTGGTTTGTCTTCACCAAAGCTGCTCACTTTGAAGAGCAGCTTTGTGATCCCAAAAGCATTTCACCCACCCTAACCTCAAATAAAGACTTTGGTCATAATTAAGGAGGAAAAAGGGGGAGGGTAGATCTAAAACTTGCATTAAATGATTCTAATTCAGTTACTGCTTAAGCCTATGATTAAAGGTTAAATGTCTCAAGATACAAGCTTAACTGAAAAAGAATACACTTTGAAACCCCAAAGATATTTTAAGTTAAAAACAAACTTAAAAGATATTACTTAGCAAAGTACATCTATCTGAAGTCTAATACTTGATGGTCTTTCTCCCTCTTGCATGCTCAGTCACGTCTGACTCTTTGGGACCCCATGGACTGTAACCCGCCAGACTCTTCCATCCATGGGATTCTCCAAGCAAGAATGCT